TCTATTTAAACTTTACTATTATTATTTTTAATTATAGAAATTATTTTATACTTTTTAATAATTTAAAATTTATAAAATTTAATCTTATAGTTTTAAGTAAATCTTAAATTAAATTAATTTTACTCTTCGAGAGTTTAATTCAATCTCGAAATTAGATTTGAAAATTAATTACTTTTTATAATTTTAATCTATAGATTTAAATTTATTTATTTTAGAGTAGTATCGTAATAATTTTAGATAGCTATTACGCGTATAGCCCCTACTTAATAGACGTATAGCCTTTATCTACTAGGCGTATAGCCCCCCTAATCGAGTTAGCGGCCGCGCGGAACGAATACTAATCGAAAATAATAAAAAACTCGTATCTAGTCTCTTCGAGCTTAATGTCTTTATAGTAGAATATAGTAATAGAATTAACTTCTATTCTATCGCTTATTTATATCTCTTACTTAATAATAATAACTCTAGATTTATCTCTCGATAATTAAATAAATATCTTACTTAATACGATAGCTAATAATTACGACGAGTTAGATAAAATAATAAGAGAAGAAGAATAGAATAGACGCGTTCTTTAATATTAAAGGTTATAGATAAGGATTAGAGCGTATATCTATATTTATCTCTATATCTACCTCTATACTATAAGCGTTATAGCGAGAGAGTTTATAATCGCTATAGTAGTTATTTCGACGACTAGACATTATACGAGAAGAGCGGCGAGATAATATAATATAGGTCTATATATAGAATAACGAGGTTATATTTAATACGTTTTAGATATAGAAAGATTAACTCGATAGATAGTAGATATTTAAGTATAAATTTTACTGGCCGGAAAGGTATGGTATGGTATGGGATATTGACCTGCCATACCATACTCTGGTATGGTATGGGTTATTGAGATTTGCATGATCCCATACCTGATATGGTATGGGATCTTGGCGGGATATCCCACGGTATGGTATATCTGTGGTATCATACCATGGAATGGTATATGTATGGGATATCCCGTTGGGATTTCTATATTTAGAAGTATAAAGTAGCTATTCTAATCATCATTCTGGTCAACGGCTAATCGTATCTACCCCCATTCGAAATACTACCATGGCTGGCACTACCATGACTACCACTACCATGACTACCACTACCATGACTACCACTACCATGACTACCACTACCATGCCTGCCACTACCATGCCTGCCACTACCATGCCTGCCACTACCATGCCTGCCACTACCATGCCTGCCACTACCATGCCTGCCACTACCATGCCTGCCACTACCATGGCTACCACTCACTACCATGGCTACCACTATTTACTATTGAAATAGCCTACTGTCATATGGTAGCCATGGTAGTAGTAGTTATGGTAGTGGTAGCTATGGCAGTGACAGCCATGATAGGGGTGGCCATGGTAGTGGCAGCCATGATAGTGACAGTCATGGTAGATGATAGTGGTAGCCATGGTTGGCCAGAATGATGATCAGAATAGCTACTTATACTTCTAAATATAGAAATCTCAGTGGGGATATCCCATACATATACCATTCCATGGTATGATACCACAGATATACCATACCGTGGGATATCCCGCCAAGATCCCGAACCCATACCAGAAAAATGGTATGGTATCCGACCCTATCCATACCATACCCGGGTACGGTGTGGTATCACTTGGTATGGGATATCCCATGGAATATCCCATACCTTTCCGGCCAGACTGTATAATAGACGTATTTTTAATAGTAAGTAAAGAGAATAACTAGTAAATCAGCTATCGCTATAGAGAAATTATTTAAAAATCTCATCAATTAATAAATTAAAATCGTTCGATATTATAAATCTATAGAGAGAGATATAGAGAGACTTATCTTATTATCATTAAGTATCTCTATAAGAATCTCGAAAAGACTAGATACGAGTTCTTTATTATTTTTAATTAGATTTCGTTAGCTTTTACGCGGCCGCTAACTTAATTAGAGAGGCTATATGTCTAGTAAATAGAGATTATATATCTATTAAATAGAGAGTATACGTTTAGTAGATAGAGGCTATACGTATAATAGCTATCTAATTTTAATATATAAAACGTATTAAGAATACTATAGTTATTATAATTCGATATAATTTATTATTTATACGTATTAAAATATTTAATCGTTAATAATATAAATCGTTTTTATTTCTTATCGTTTAAAGACGATAGTAGTCTATTAAAATATCTTAATAAAATAAGATAAAGTTAATTTAAAAAATCTTAAAGTTATATATAGTTAATTATAAATTCGAGATTTCTATATCTTCTAATTCAACTATCTAAGTTAGCTCGCTAATTCTTTCGAGATTTTTTATTAATAAAATAAATATATATTATTTAATACTAAAATAACTTTTTATTTCTCTATTAAAATTTCTTAATTTATTAACTATAAAGTATAGTTTACGTATTTTAATACTATAAAAATAATAAAATCAAATTCTATAATTATTTAAAGATAAGATATTTTAATATCGCTTACTAAAGTTTACTTATTAAATTTACTCGATAGCTCTAAAAAAAAGATTATCAATTTAATTTATATATTTAAATTTAATTTATATATATATATCGTAAGAGAAGATAGCTATTACTCGCTAAGATATTTTTTAAATATATAGTCTCTATAATCGAATTAATAGTCGTCTAGTAGTTAGCGAATACTAATTTAAAATAATAAAGACTTCTTAAATAGCTAGAGTTAAGTACTAAATTAGCTTATATATTAAATAAACTTATATAATTAAATATAAGTAGATTTAGAATTATATAGTAATATAGATTTAATAAATAATAAATATTATCGAAATCTATTTCTTACGTATCTTATTAATTATATATTTTTATTATCTAATTTTATACTATATTCTAAATCTAGCCTCGAAGAGATTTTAGATAATTAATTATTTTTTCTATATATTATATATCTAATATTTTAATAGATATATATATTTATATATAAAACTTATAATAAGATTAATTCTTAAGAAAGTAGAAAGAAAAATAAGAGATTCTTTTTAAGCTTCTATATTAAGTTTATATACGCTAAAAATCTTAACTATACTACGACTTTACTTAATAATTAAATTCTCTTTAAAAATCTTAATTAATATTATCTTCTCCCTTCGAGGATTTATTCTTAAATCTATACTATATCGAAATTATAATTATTATAAAATTAATTAAAATCTTTTAAATTTTAGCGTAGATATAAAAGAAAGATTTTTTATTAAATTAAATTAATATACTTATAATATATATATATATAAGCTTATTAACGTTACTTATAATAGTAAGTATTTTACTAGTTATAAATTAATAGTTTCGAAATTAATTTTAATAAGATCTCTATATACTTAATAGATATAATATTCGACTATTTATATTCGACTTCGAATTAAGCGTAAAATAAATAAATAAATACTTTAAAATAAGAGTATATTTTAAAAATAATTAATATATATTAAAGTAGATAAATAGAACTAGTAGTTAAGATTCTAGAATTATTATAGACATATAGCTATTTAAAGTTTTAGAATTAATAAGTTAAATTAGATAGAATAATTATTAATATATATAAAAGAATAAGATAGAGTTAAGCTTAAAAATCTTAAATTTATATATATAGTTAAATAATAAACTCGAGGTTATTACATTTTTTAATTAGACTATCTAAGTTAGCTCGCTAATACTCTTTAACTCTCTTATTAAAAAAATAGATATATTAGTATATATAATAGAATAAGATAGAACTAAGCTTAAAAATCTATAATTTATATATATAGTTAACTATAAATTTAGAGTTACTACGCTTATTAATTAAATCGACTAAATTATCGCGAATAAATAGATTAGCGTTCGTAATTTTTATTATTAATAAATAGATATATATTATTAATACATAGAATAACTTTTTTAATTTCTATTAAAATTTTATAATTTTTTTTTTAAATTATAGAACGAAATGTGGGCTTTTAGAGAAAAAAGTATTTCTAAATTTAGTCTTATAATTATTAAAGCGTAAGAAATTCAAATATCGCTCATTAAAGTTCGCTTACTAAAGTTCGCTTTCCTATTTACTCGATAGCCCTAATTAAAAAAAAATTATGAGTTTAATTTATAGGCCTTTACTCGTATTATTAATATATAGAATAACTTTTTTATTTTTTATTAAAAGTTAGATTTTTTTTTAACTTATAGAATAAAATATAAACTTTTAAATAATAAAAAAAATTAGATTTAGTCTTATAATTATTAAAGCGTAAGAAATTTAAATATCGCTTATTAAAGTTCGCTCGATAGCCGAATAGCTTTAAATATATATATATTATTTAATTTTAAAATAACTTTTTTATCTTCTATTAAAATTTTAAGATTTCTTTTTTAAACTATAAAACGAAATATAAGCTTTTAGATAAAAAAAGAATTTATTAAATATAGTCTTATAATTATTAAAGCGTAAGGAATTCAAATATCCCTTATCAAAGTACGCTTACTAAAGATCGCTTATCTATTTACTCGATAGTCTTAAATAAATAAAAAATTATAAATTTAAATTTATAGGCCTTTACTCGTCTATAATATAAACTTTAATTCTATATATCATATCAATACTACTTGCGCTGGAGATCGTCTGGCTACCCTTTAGTTTCCCTACTTCGAATACTTCTGAAATGCTTAAGGCTGCAGGCAAAGCCTAGGGCAATAAACTTCGATAACAGACTTTTACCTCGAGGTTATCCTGTGAAGATGTTGCCAAAGAGAAGATCCGCCGCCATATATCTAAAGTAGAGCACTAGGCCCTGGGCCAAATCCTGCTACCGACGGAGAAAATAAAATTCTCTTTGTGCCTGTCAGCGGAATATGTAGTCCTTCAGGTTGGACTACGCAATCTTCTCCCTCACGAGCGCACTCGGTACCCTCAGGAATGAGACAAACAAAAGTTGATTCCACAGCAAATCATCTCTTCTGAACTCGATAGGCGGATCGAGGTTTTTGTTGTGGAGATGATTTATTTGGCTGCTTTAAGCCGGGGGACTTTGGAGGACCCATCGGAGCGATACTGGAGACGCGTTGGCTTGTTTTGTTATCATAAGCGAGTTCGTAGAAAGCGGCAGTTTTCGAAGCTTTTGACCTAGTAGCTCTACTAAGATGATTAGTATCTCCATTCGTAGTGACTAGTTCCTACTTACCGCCCAGAGACCGGTAGTAGAGTTCGAAGTTGTCTTTGACGTTGTACTTTACGTGCCCGTAATTGCGGTGAAGTGGAGGGGGCCGGATGGATGTTTTGCAAAGGCGTGTCACCCAGTTTGGGCCGCTGGATCCCCATGTTGACGGACTCATTCTCCTTAGATGTGGCGCCTGTTATGAAGTTCAGATCTTGATCCCAAGCCACTCTGGGATAGGTAAGGCTCTTACCTCGTGGAGGGCACGGGGGAGACATAGGCGGAGTCATCGGCCGTATATCCTCGAATTCTTCATCATCAGAAGAGACTGGCTCCCAAGCAGTAGAAGGTCCTCGTCCTTCAGCCTCAAGCCTTGCGCGCATTGCGTCGGCTTCTGCGTCCTTGCATGATAAGCCACGCGTCGCTTTCTTCCCGTGTTATAGGCATGATGGTGATGATTGGCATGTGAGCCAGGAAGTGAAGGGGCGGAGTTTGATGCTCCCGCCACTTCAGCCCTATGATTACGAGTAGCGCCGTTGGCAACGCTGCGCAGAGCCGCAGCTGCCTAAAGTGAGCTAAGCCGATATTGCACTAGCGATTTTCAAATGATGTACCTTCTTCAACAAATCTCTGCGGCATGTCTCAACCTCGCAGGCAAAAAACTTTCGCACAACGCTCATGCTATATTATTGAGCTATAGAAAGTAGATACACGTATTCAAAGCACTCAGTAAGGCCAGTACCTCTTCAATTGGCTTCAGGGGACGCCCATACCCCTGTAACCATGCCGAATAAGGCCAGCTGGCCCCAATGGGACCATGGCAGCCACGATTTCAAGGAGCACGCATTCATGCTGAAGTTGTCGATGAACACCATGCTGAAAATGATAGACGAAGGCCAGAAACCACCAATGGACGAAGTAGCTGCTGCCCTCAGGGCGGCGGTAGCATTTGCAGAAAGGGCGAACGATGAACCCAAAATCCAGACAGTCTTGGACGAAGTACGCAAACTAGCCATTGACTCAAGCAACCGAGACAGCAATATGGAGGAAAAGATTACGCATATCAAGCACCAGGCAGCTAGCCTGAAGCAATACATCGACGGCCAGCTACGCCAGCGTACTGGGCCGGTCCTCGACATCCTCCTCCACCACCGGAGGAATCCCCATTGTACCACCAGCAATGCCGAAACAAGGCCAAGCACCATATAACAAGCTAAACGAGATCATTGTAAAGCTACAAGACGAGACAGCAAGCAAAGCATTGGAGGGGAAGACACCGAGCGAGATGACCACGATGGTCAATGGATATATAAAGAGCACGGACACCACAAGGAAACCTGTCAGGACGGCCAGGAGGCTAGCGAGTGGCGATATATGCATCATGGCTGCAAATGAGGAGGAGGCGAACAGACTGAGAAAAAGCAAGGATTGGACTCTGAAGATAAGTGGCAGCGCGAGAGTGATCACCAAAACGTATGGCCTCCTACTCCATGGAGTGGGGATCAATACATTCGACACCAAAGACATGGCCACGGCAATCAAAAGGGTTCAGAACGAGAACGCCAACACGCTGAGCCTCGACATAGTGTGGCTGGGCTGGTTCGGCGCGAATAAAGAGGGTTATGACAAGGGTTCATTGATCATCGAATTAGCATCCCCAGAGGAAGGAAATAGAGCACTGGAAGAAGGCCTAGTTATCGGTTCGGAACTACATGGCTGTTGCGTCTACAACAAGCAGTGTAGATCGAAGCAATGCTTCGTATGCTGGAAATACGGTCACCTGTCGACTGCATGCCCTAAAAAGGATCACTCAGTGTGCGGGAAATGCTCAGGGGAGCATCATCATAAAGAATGCACGGCCGACACTCGCAAATGCCCGGTTTGCGAGGGACCACATGAGGCTTGGAACAAGGTATGTACAGCAAAGAAGAGGGAGATAGCGAGAATGAGAATGGCGAGACAATGGACTCCTTCACGATTCGTGACAACGAAGGAGGCACCGGCTAGCTACCAAACAAGCGATCAATCAAGCAACTACTTTCAGAATGCGTCCAATCGTGGGCGAAATGAGGAATTTTTCCCGAGGCTGGCATCCACGCGCGGTGGGCCAGCAGGCAGAGGTAGGATAGTCAGCAGGGGAGGAATCAGAGGGCCGGACCTCGAAAGAACTACTACACCGAATCTCCAGCCGAGTGGAAGGAGGTATGCTTCCACATCACCAACAAGGGCCTCGCCTAGAAACAGATCGCCCTCCAAAGCAGTAGACGAAGCCAAACGATATGAGGACGGTATAGCGGCAGGGGAAATTAACAACCCCGAGGACGACAGACAGCCCCTAAGTCAAAAGAGTGGCAATGAGAGAATTGCGGTCCCCGTCAATGGGAACAAAAAGAGACATATCCGGTCCATCGACGACCAAGAAAAGGAGAACACTCAGGAAGGGGATGCGGACTCTATGGACTGGGCGGAGCGAGTAAGCAACACTAACAATAACACCGAGAAATGGTAGCACACCCCAGTCAGCTATCAATACTGCAATACAACACAAGGAAATCCAGAACGGTCATGGTAGAACTCTTCGATAACGAAAAGATCTATGACATCGATATAGTAGCAATTCAGGAGCCCTGGAGAAACACCAACACAAACACGTCGTATCATCCCCTGAAGGATAGATTCAACTTGATCTACCCCTACCATAACAACACACGAGTGTGCTTCTATATCAACAAGAGAATATCACCAAAGCAATGGTACCCATCATATCACTCACCGGACCTCTGCACTCTTAACATCAAGTCCGAAAACAATAGAATTATACGCATACACAACATCTACAACCCCGGCGACCAACAAATAGACGGACTTGACGAACTACATGAGACGCTTGTGGAGTCTAAGGATGACGAACAGATCATGCTAGGCGACTTCAACCTTCACCACACGATGTGGGGGGGACCGGATGCTCGTATCGATGAGAGAGCAGAAGAACTAATACTCATAGCGGAAGAATTCGCCATGGAACAAGCATTGCCAGTAGAAACGGTGACATACGAAGAAAACTGTCAAACAACAATAGACCTACTATTCGCCACTCCAGCACTAACAGCAAATGTCATTAACTGCAATATCGGAAATGATTTCGAAAGCGGATCCGACCACCTCCCAATTCTCACAAAGCTTGAGCTGGCCGTGATGGAGTTAGCACCAACGACACGCCGAAACTTCAACAAACTGGACGCCGAGGTCCTGAGAGAGACACTCGCTAGAGCCATGGCATCGAAAGAGTGCCTAGCCAATCCCCAGGGGAATGGTGAAAACCTCACTAACGATGGCATCGATCATCAAGTAGCGGCCATTATTGACTCTATCCAAGCGGCCATAGAGGAGTCCACTCCGGTCATCAGGTTGTCGCCACGGTCTAGACCGGGATTCACGCCAGAATGCAAGGAAGCACAAAGGCGTTGCAAATCGCTGAAAAGAAGCTGGAGAACGACGCTCTCGGAGGAAGCATGGGATGAGTATAAAGTCGCCAAGAACTTCAAAAACGAACGACGCTCTCGGAGGAAGCATGGGATGAGTATAAAGTCGCCAAGAACTTCAAAAACAACCTGATCAAGAGAACTACCAGGAAGGCGTTCAGAGAGTTCGTGGCAGAGGCGTGCGAGTCGCCGCAAATGATGTGGAAAAAGACCAAGTGGGCCAGAAAACAACTTACAACACAGGCGTGTCTCCCTCCGCTATTTGACAAAGATAAACGAGAATACAACGAACCAGGCCCGAAGGCAGATCTTCTTATGAGAACGTTCTTCCCACCACCGGTACAGGCGGAGTTAGATGACATCAGCGTCGACACGGCGTACCCACAAGCCTACCTGATGGGCACGATCACCGTGAATGAGATAAGAAAGGCCATAACGCAAGCACCGTCAAAGAGAGCCCCGGGGGGAGACGCGATCCCCAACCTGATTCTCAAGGAGATCCTGGAGCCGTTACTCCCTCATCTACATAGAATATTCAATGCATGCATGACGAACGGCTACTGCCCAGAGCACTTTAGAACATCGATAACAATTGTCCTTCCGAAGCCGGGCAAGGACCACTCGATTCCTAAAGGATACCGGCCAATAGCTCTACTTAACACCATAGGAAAGGCAATGGAGTTTATTCTTGCTAGGAGAATAGCATATCTTGCGGAGACACATGGACTCCTGCCGGCCACACATATGGGAGGCCGTAGATTGCGGTCATGTGAACACGGCATCCACTACCTTCTAGAAAGGATATATCAGGCCTGGAACTCTGACAAAGTAGCCACGATGTTACTGCTAGACGTTTCAGGTGCATATGATAAAGTCTCTCATCCTCGACTGCTCCACAACCTCCGAAAGCGAAAAATCGACACGAGAGTAGTTAACTGGGTAGAATCGTTCTTGTCCAATAGGACAACAGTGCTGAAAACAAGCGAACACTCCACACCAAAGACTCCCATAGCAACCGGAATTCCTCAAGGATCACCGCTGTCGCCCATACTTTACCTCTTCTACAACTCAGATCTCATTGATGAATGTAACAGTCGCGCCGACTTAGGAACGGTAGCCACCGGCTTCGTAGACGACATAGGCCTTCTGACAGTGGGAGACTCCACCGAGGAAAACTGTAACGCCCTCCGCAAAATCCACGACGAAGTTTGTATGAAGTGGGCGTTACGACACGGATCGGAGTTTGATCCCAGCAAATATCAACTGCTGCACCTCAGTAGAAAACAGAGATTCAGCTTAGACCATCCCCTGCAACTCAACGAGAGGCAATGCATTGAGGCGAGACGCTTTGTCCGCTACCTAGGGGTCGAAATCGACTCTAAACCTCTATGGAGTCACCACAACAAGGAGATTCGGTCTAAGGCTACCAAAAGCATCGGTGCACTGGCGAGGATTGCCGGATCGACGTGGGGTGGCAACTATAAGAGCATGAGACAGCTCTATCAGGCAGTAATTATCCCACAAATGACGTACTGCTGCTCAGCATGGTACCAGCCCGAAGACACTGCCGGCCACAACAAAATTCACCTCTCATCGCTACAAAGGATTCAATCTCAGGCAGAGAGGAAGATAACTGGAGCATTCAAGGCCACATCCATTCCAGCACTCGATATAGAAGCGCACCTCCTACCAGTTAAACAACAGCTAGACAAGATCACCTCGGAAGCTGTCTTACGAATCGCCACTAGTCCAGCATATGGCGAGATTATTAAGCCACGATTCGAGCGATGGAAGTCCAAAAGAAAACCCAAGAAGAACAGGAAACTGAGTCCACTGGAGCGACATACCAATAGATTCGAAGAACGATACGGCGACACCAATAAGATTGAGAAACTACGCCCTTTCAGCGCCGCTCCCGACTGGGAGCCTCCCAAAACGATAATTCATAAGACCAAGAAAGCCGCCAAAGAACTGGCCAAAAGATCGATTGATGAGGGTCATGCAATGATATACACAGACGGTAGCGGGATCAATAAAAAGGTGGGAGCTTCAGCTGTATCGTCAGACATTGGTTCTACTTTCAGTGTCTATTTGGGCTCAAGCGACTGGTACACGGTGTACTCGGCGGAGCTGCACGGTATTCTTCAAGCTCTAACTATGGCAGTCGTGCACCAAACAAGGCTACAACTCAGCAGAGTCATAGTAAACACGGACAATCAAGCATCGATTCAGGCTATCGGAGACCCGGGCAAGCACTCGGGGCAGATCTATGTGATACAGGCAGTACAGATCATCAATTCGCTAAGGCATCTCGGGGTAGCAACAGAATTACACTGGATCCCGGCGCACATCGGTATCGACGGCAATGAATGGGCGGATAGGGAGGCGAAGAAGGCCACTGGCTGGCGAGAGCGAGTGGTCCATGACAAAAGAGTGGAGGTAAACACTAACGAAACAGCCCAATTGTCAGTCATACAGGTAAGAATGATATCGACGGTTAAGACAGCTATCAGGGACCACGCGATGGAACAATGGACTATCGAATGGGCCAACGAGAAGCGAGGCGGTATTCTTAGAAGAATCCAACCAACACCGTCGAAACAAATACAACTTCTGCATTCGAGAGTCAAGCGCGCTAAGACGTCGCTGATAACGCAAATGAGGACCGAGAAAATAGGTCTTAAGGCCTTTCTTTACAACCGATGGGTACCGGATATAGAGGATGAA